CACTCATCTCACGCCACTCATCACACAGCACTCATCACACACCACTCTTCACACACCACTCACCACACACCACTCATCTCATTCACTTTTATGGTCCAGTATTTTTCCGTCCTCTTTTCTTATTAGTCTCTACTTCTCGTTGATAGTTCTTACATTCTTAACATGTGAGGTTATTGGGTCTTTTTATTTTTAATTTTTCCTTTGTGAAGCTTGGAGAGGTCATTGAACGTTCAAACTGTGGAGACCCTTTTTTTTCGGTCCCTGGCTGGAATTCTTCCAGAAATTCGTTGGATGCTTACCGCTCGACCTGTTCTTTTGAACCGGTGGCATCTTGATAAACTTCGGACACCCAATTGGTCGAATCGAAACGATACATGGTTTCACTATGTTTCACTGTGGGCTCCGAAGATGGACACAACGGATGGATTTCAAAATTTTTTCCCGCAGTTCGACGATTTTCCCCATGGAAGATCATGGAAGTAATTTACGTAGAGGATCGAAAGTTCCGTTTCTTTTTTTTTGGGGGGGCATCACCGAGGTTGACCACGGGAAAGAGAAACTCGACGCAACGTCAAAGTTGTTGCCTTACAATATGCTAAACTTAATTGATCGTAGAAGACTCTGTCTAAACATCTAGGCACAAAATCATTAGTGCGAACGTGAACTATCCTGCGTCCTATCTAGAAGCTAACCTAGAAGCAAACTTAGTGTCGTAGCTTGCCAGTCCTTCACTTAGTTAAGTAGGTGCCTACTTAATTAAATGGGGGGAGGGGGAGCGGGCTAAGAAAAAATAACAACTCGACCTCCTTCACCGGTATCCATGGTCCTCCATGGTCCTGTGGTCACGAACCAAACACTGCTCAGCCTGGTGGCCTGATGTTCCCTGACCGGGCCAAGCTCTTCGTTTCGCTCCTGCAGGCGAATCGTTGGTTTCATTTCATGCGGCGAAACTGGTGGCGGCGAAACGCGCAGTTCGCTCTTTTCATCCGGTGGACCAGTGGGTTCACCAAGAAGTTTTAATAGGATCACAGGGGACTGATTCTGAGTGTTTTTTTTTTTGTGACAGTTTGTGAGGTGCCCTACTGTTTGAGAGGTTAGGGTGGCAGTGGATTTAGACTCAACAGTTGTTGGTGGACAGTTTTCTTGTGAGTCATCTCTGTTTGAGCCCGCGTCATGGATGTTTGCCATGTTGGACTTGGAGATCTTGGAGCTTCTGCAGGATGCGGACTACAAGAGGAAGCACTATGACTACTACGATGAGGCCCTACGGGCCGTGACGAAGTTTCAAACCCAGATCAGGCAGATCTGGTTTTTGAAGCTTCTTGGGTGCCTCCTCTGTGCGTGGGGGAACTTTAAGTCGAACACATCGTGGTTCAGCTTCCCTGTGCAGTCTATGATCAGGGGTAGTGCATGCTCCACAGCGAGATATCATCAGGCGTTGGCCATCATCTAAGGGTGATTGCTTGAAATACTGCAGATGTTTCATGGTATTTCTTGCAATACACAGACACCAAACATCACCAAACCAAACCACCTAGTTTACCTGTGAAAGCAGAACCCCGCCATGCTCCAACAGTCCAAGACCATCAATCCTACACCAGCTTCTTCCCAAGAGTTGGAGGCCTTTTTCACCTCTCTCAATAGTTCAACAGGTTCTTGTCCAGCTTGGTGTGTTTCTTGTTCAGGTCTGGGGCTTCGACTTCAGTTGCATGAAGGCTGGGGTGGCCTTGGTCGAACGAGTGAGGTGACCGCCGACCGTCGATCGCCGTGGCGATCGCCTCCAGGAGGCTGCCAAGGCAGAGCCCGCCCTCCTGGACTGCGACGAGGTGTATGTGAAAGCATCCTTGCTCCTAGTGGCGATGCCCTTTGCTCCTAGTAGCGTCCTTGCTCCTAGTCGTGTACTTGTCCTTTTTTCTCGGGCGTCGGGAGGAGTTTTTGCCGTGGCGGAGATTTCCAGAGATTCCGTGGGCTTCTCCAGTGGACGGAAGTTGTGGACAATCACCTGGAGAAGAAGAACATGTCCGTTTTTTTTGTTTTTAAACAATATATTTTTCAATTTTCGGAGCAGAGAGTTTCCTCCAAACAGACAACTGAGTGATCTGGAAATCGTGCCGTGCCCTCTCAGCTTGGGACATCTTTGCTTTCTGTCCGTGAGAAAGTGACCAGTTTCAGTCCAACGAAGGAACCAAGTTTGTCACGTTTGGGGTTTCAGAATTTCAGGATCTCCAGGAAAAGTGGATAACCTGAACAACCTGTTTTGGGAAATTGGGGACACCCCAGACGAACAAGATCAGATGGAAAGTTCCGTTGGCCTCTCTTCCGGAAGTGAGGGATGGACGCAAGATCTGGAAGGTCTGGTCGAATGGGCAGACGAGACCCAATGATGTGGATTCTACAGATTCTCCGTCCTGGTTCTTCAGAGCGACCCTTTGAGATCCCTCACTTCAGCCTCTGATTGGGAACCTCAATTTTGGTCAGTTTGAAGAAACTGGCTGTAGGACTTGGCCGAAGGAATCTGGGCTCAGCCAGGAAACTTCTTCACGCTTTCTCAGCCGCTCCCGCTCATGTAGGCTTCTTTGATCTCCTCGATCACCTCAGTGTTGAACCTGGACCTTCTTCACTGTTCCGCTTGAAGCTCAGAGGAAGCCCAGGTCAGTCAGCACTCTTCGGGTTCAGCCTTTTGTCTCAGGTGCCTCCCGGCTCTTTTCGGGTCTCTTTTCGACACTTTTCAAGACCTCAGAGGCTTTGGATCATCTTCCCCAAGAAAGACCAACCTCCGAAGAAGCGAGTCGAACCGAAAAAAGCACGGGAGGCGCTTGGTGCATTTTGTTTCATCAGAATGGTTGAACTCCACGACTCATCCGAAGTTGAACCCCCAAGTCTTGTATCGTACGATTCTCACAAAGCCAAAAAGTACTCTTGGCTGCAGTCGATCAATTATGGTCAGGGTTACAGTACTAGGACCTTCTACATTCTCCGTGAACATGGATTGACCACAAGATTGAACCAGGGTTTACTCACGTCTTTGCTTCAACGATATTTTGTTGCAACATGTTCCAAGCTCAAAAACAATTGAGCATTTTGAGCTTATTAATCTTTCTTTCCAATCCTTGGACCCACACCAAACCAACTCTGTCGAAACAGGTACCGTTTCGCCTTCGTGCACCTTCCGACTGCGGTGTCCCCGGGCGCCCCATCGACTTTGGCCCCCCCGGTCGGTCGACTCCGGGCGGTTTTTGGTCGTTGTGGCAGGTGGCGGACTGCTACAACATGGCGTCCAAATTCAAGCTGAGGTGGACCGGTGGACCACTTGACCCTTGACTGGGCAGCTTTCTTGGGTGATCGAACTGGTGGGGTTCAACGCGCTACATGGGGCGGTCCGTTCTGCTCGCACCTTTGGACTGAAGGTGCTCGCTGATCTCTGATCTCTCGGCTTTTTGGAACTCGATTTCGACATCGGACTTGGATGTCAAGAACTCTCTTTGAGAGATCACCACCCGCAGATTTTTGAGGACTGTTCCCGACTGCCCTCTGCCAGGTGTCGACATGAGGCAGCGTTGTTTTCTTTTTGCGACGCAGCAGGGGTGATTGATCCAAAGAATGATCACAACTTGCAGATGTTGAGGTGCAGGGAGCTTGCTTAGATTCTTAGATTGACTGAACAGTATAGGGTTCTCAACGGCTCAGACGTGCCAATCAAGCTGGGGGTTGCTGTGTGAGGTAGTTTCAAATATCTGAAAATCATTGAAAATCATGTTTGTTTTATTCAATTCAGTTTTCACAAAAAGCCTCAGCTTGAACATCAGACGTCTGAAGATTACACTACGTCTCATACTTTTGCAGCCAGTTTTGGCCCAAGTGGGGAACAAACATATCCACCTGCAGCAAGCAGAAACCAGAGAGAAAGAGTAGAGAGAGAGAGAGTGGAGGTGTCAGCAGATCTCTTCCATGTTTTGCAGTTGACCTCTCTTCTTCAAATATCCGTCAACGTTTTCCGCATTTTCATCCACCGGATTTTCTCCCGGTCGGGGTGCATCGATCCACCGCTCCGGTTCGTGGGGACATCCGGGAATCCGAGGAAACCATCGTCAAGTTCGTTTGACATGGTAAAGTTTGTGAAGGAAAAACTGAAGCTGTCAAGGTTTTGAACACAAATGCTTTGAGTAATGTCAAGGGTTTATGATTGAGATAAGAGGAATCTCCACTTTTTCTTTCTGTGGAACTGTTTGATTGCTGAGGAATTCACTCTATGCGGAAGAACATCTTCCCATGCAGGCCATCCACGTTTCTTTCCCCAAGACCATTTGTTGGGACCAATTGAACAGGGATGATGCCATGGAGCTGAGTGATGTGGCGTGCGCCAAAGAGGACTGACCGTCGGTGCGAGAGTGTTCGGATCAAGCTGTGACCTGATGCGTGACGTGACTAGATGTTCCTAGTAGCGAACCTTGTTACTACTAGGAACAAGTGCCACGCTAGTAGTAACAGGTGCCTTACTAGTAGTAACAAAGAAGCTATTAGAATTAATTTAAAGTAAATTTAATAGCTTCTTGTTACTACTAGTAAGGCACTTGTTACTAGTAGCGATGCACTTGTTACTAGTAGCTTCCTACCCCCCCCTAGACGTGACTAGATGTTCCTAGTAGCTTCTTGTTACTA